TGGTCCTTTCAAGGGGAATTTCACCAAGAAAAGCCCTGTAAATAATTTTGTTATCAACTGCTGAGCACGCTCCTGACTCTCCATACATCCCTACTACACCACGAATATTTCAGCATCACACACAGAGCTCAACCCAGCGAAATGAGAAGGGGAAAAATAAAGTGACTTTCTATTGATCAGTTCAGACTGAATTTCCAGTCCCTTCCAACACTTTGGGATCACCCTATTTTGCCTAGTGCTCACCTGGAATTAAGCCATCACTCCCGAGCTCCTGGCCAGGCTTTCTGCAGGTTATCCCACCCTGCATCACTGTCACTCCCACCTCCCTGCTCAGGCTGGACCTGCCTTCCTGGTGATCCTGGAGGCTCCCACAGCCACAACCCTGGAGCCTAGCCCTACTCACACCGAGGGATGGCAAACAACATTTAGTTCTACACCCTCAGTAAACACATCTGTTCCTGCTCCTGGCACCGGGCTGTGCTCAGGGAGCCAGGAGAACATTTGCTTCCCGTAGCTCAGCATTTACACTTTGTACACCAGGAGGGTTTTTTCAGTGGGATGACTGATTTTAGTCCAGATGCTCTTTGGACCAGATGACCTTTTAAGGTCCCCTCCAAGCCAGGTTGTTCCAGGATTAGACAAATCCTCATTTTTATTTGTTTTTTGCCAAGGTGAGAGGAACTAAAACACAGGCTCTCAGTGTATGGCATTGGACTCTCACATGTGTGGCAGTGGGAGTGATAACTAAACCCAAAACAAGCCCCCATCAACTTTCTTTCAAGATTTTGCAACAAATTCCCACAGCTGGCCAGTGGAACAACAACAAAAGTCTGTAGGTATCAATGTTTTATGAACAGAAACACAAGTTTGATTGTCCTCCCTCACATCCAAAACCACCCAAGTACACTACTGCCTAAAAAAAAAAAAAATCACTGATTTTTTAGAAATAAATTTTTTAAAAGAAGCCTTGCACCCTTTTGGCCACCACAATAATACTGGTTTTATTTGCTGTATCACCATAATTCGGAAACTTGCAGGTAGTTTCTAATCTCCCCTTTGCATAATTCCCAGGAGTTTGTCATTTTTTTAGAACCCCTGCTATTTACTTAGTAATAATGCCTCAAAGGATTTGGAAGAAACACATCACACATGCTTTGCTATGCTGTGTAAAAGGCAGAAAGAAACCATTTGCTGTCATGCAGAAGACAGAGAGAAACCTCTGGATGAGGCAGCAGGGAGACAGCACAGATCCCCACAGCAAGGGGCAGCTGTTTCTATTCCTTCCTCCTCCTCCAGCAGTTCTGTGTTGTATTTGTTTCACCCAACTTCTTCAATGATTATTATTTTACACTCATTATCTACTATTTAATCACCAAACCAGAAACTTCAGGGGAAGGTTGTTTTTGTTATGACAGAGGTCAGGTGTAACAAGGACATCCGGCTACAGGACGCTGATTTCCCATCATTCAAGACTTCTGATACCCATCACACACTTTTACTAAAAGCCCTGTTTCTTTTCAAAGACAACTGCAAAAACACTTCAAATGAGAGAAGAAGACTCCCCCTGCAGCACTGCACACGTAGCATCAAACATTTATTAAATCAAGGTATGAAGAACAACTCCTCTCAAAGCCACAGCTTCAATTTACTTGTTAACAAGTTCAGTGATCCTCGGCACACAGAGTAAGAGAGAAGGACGGGAGTTTTCCCACTCTTCACTGTGAGTTCTCTGCTGGGATTTTTCATACTCAGACCCCCATGCTGCTCTGGCTTTGGGGAGCAGCAGCTGCTTTGCTCCTCCCATCCAGCCACACTCTGCTTCCAGGCTCCCCCAGGCTGCTCAAGCCACTGAGCATCATCAGGGACCTGATACCCCAGAGTCCTGACCAGGTCCAGCTCTCCTCAGACAACTGGGGTTTTTTAACCTGTTAAAAAGTACCTGAACATCCCAAAAGAGAGGCAGACCTGCCTCACTGTCAGCTTACATATAACAGAGATGTCAATAGCCAGAGGGTCTTATTTTCACGACAGGAGCTTTCACTGCTGTGGAAAATCTACCTGTTATCATCTCAGATCAGGTGAGCCCTTCTTGATTAGAGTCCCCAGCTCTGCTCCTCTTGCAATACAAGCACTATAATTAAACACTGGTTTCTCATTTCAAGTTTCTGTCTCTTTTTTGGTACCCGAAAAGAAACAAAAAGAAGGTCCACAGGACCTGAAACAGTCTCCATGTGTGTGTGCTACAGTATGGAACAAAACTGCCCTTCAACATGAATAAAAAGAAGCAAAATGTACAAAAAATAAGGCACTGCATTTTCACTTTTGCTGTCCAAACTAGACCTCCGTTGCACTCAATCTCATCAGGAAATATGAGTAGGGATAAAGGAAAAACTGGGTTTTTTTTATGTAAGGAAACAATTGGTAAAGGTAAAGACAGGAAACTCCACAGAGTGCTGTGGCATCTCTGTGTTTGCACAGTTCTCTGGAAGAAATTCTTTCCTGTCAGGGTGATGAGGCTCTGGCACAAGTTGCCCAGAGAAGCTGTGGCTGCCCCTGGATCCCTGCAAGTGTCCAAGGACAGGTTGGACGGGGCCTGGACCAACCTGGGATAGTGGAAGGTGTCCCTGCCCATGACAAGGGGGTGGAACAAGATGATCTTTAAGGCGCCTTCCAACCCAAACCTTTCTGTGATTCTTCCACCACTCACTCACAGCCCCGTGACCCACTTCCAGCCACAAAGCACCACCCTGGCTGCTCCGGAGCTGTACAGTCACTCCAGACACATCCCGTTAAAGGCTGAGCACATGCAAACAGCCCCAAGTGATAAACATCTGCCAAAGCCTGGTTTCTGTCTTCTCAACTCCCGGCTAAAACTTTCCACAGCCTGGCAAACCCGGAGCCTTATTCCAGTGGGCATCAGGAGACCTGGCCCGAGGACTCTCCAGCCTTTTGGAGCAGCCGAGGAAAGGCAGCTGCAGTGCTGGAAGAGACAATGCACAGCTTCTGCTTTGCTGAACTGTGTGAACAGAGGGTAAAGAATATGAGCTGGAGAGCAGGGTATAAAACTGACCTAATCAGCTCACTTTTTATTAGTCATGAAGGCAGATGAAACAAAAGTTGTGCCCTTGGTAGAGGAGTCCACCCTCGCCACAGACCCCCGTGGCTTCCTGAAGTTGGCCGACTGCTTTAAAAGGGCTCTGCAGCACATCACCATCCTTATCCCTGCTGATCCTGAGGCCAAGGTCCGGGACACACAGCACGGGTCCCACGGGCACTTTCCCCCCGTTACCGCGTGATGTGCCCTCTCCGTGTCCCACCGTGCGCTCGGAAGGGTCCCCTCGCACCCGAGCGCTCCAATTACTCATTCCCCGCCCCGGGATTCCCGAGCCGGCCCTCCCTGCGGTGCCGCCGCTGCAGGCGGAGGCCGCGCCGGGGAACGCAAGGTCACGTCCTTCCCTGCCGGGGAGCGCGCCCGCCGCCCCGCCCTGCCCCGCGGAGCCAGCGGCCCGTGTGCGGCCCCGCCGAGCCCTCACCGCCCCGGGCCCCGCCGCGGCCCCGGGCTCTGCCCCGGCCCGGCCAGGCGGAGCGGGGGTGGCGGGCCCGGCGCGGCCATGGCGGCGGGACTACAGCCCCCGGCATGCACTGCGGCGCGCCCGGAGCCCCCGCGGCGGACTGCGAGTCCCGGCGTGCACCGCGGCGGGGCAGCACTGTACGCAGCGGTGCGGCGCCGCAAGGCACGCCGGGACTCGCAGTCCGACCCACCCACCCCCGCGCCCATTGGCGGCCACGCCCGCCCGTCAAAGGCGGCGCAGCCAATCGCTGCGGGCGCGTGCCGAGTCATTCAGCGCGCGCCGCGCCGCGGTCACAGGACCCCCCCCCCATCCTCCCCTCAGCCCCCCGCCCCAACCACGCTCCGCGGGCCCGGCGCGGCCTCGGCGGGGACACCGGAGGGTGCGGTTCGCGGGGCTCCCGCCGTCGGCGCTCACCTGCTTGGCCACGGCGAGCCCCGCCCGGCGGCAGGCCCGCAGCATGGCTCGGCGCGGCGCGGCCCGCGGGGAAGGCGCCGTGCGCGGGTCCTGCCGGCGCCGCCTCCGCCCCCCGCCCTCAGCGCGCACCGCGCCTGCGCGAGCGCTCCCGCGTGACGGGCCGCGCGCGGCCAATCGGAGCGCGGGGAAGAGTCCGCGAGACGCCGGCGCGCGGAGGGCGCGCGTGCGCGGTGTGCGCGCGCTCCTGGGATCGTCGCTGTCGGGGACAGAGTGAAATAAAAATAAAAAAATAAAACCCGCAGAACCACAGAACGGGACGGGCTGGAAAGGCACCACAGTGGGTCACCTGGTCCCGCCTCCATGCTCCCGCAAGGTCATCCCGGAGCACATTGCACAGGATTGCGTCCACATGGCTTTTCTGCGTTGTAACAGAAAAAAGACACTTTCCTAAAAAGAAAGAAAAAAAGCCAAATCTGAACGTAACACAGATCTACCGCGGCACATTCTGTAGCATTTATTCACAATTTACAGGTGCAATCTTTCACAAGTCCCTCAAACGGCTCCTAAACCTTCTCTCCCTCGGAGCCTTCAGGAGCCATTCCCATCCCACCCTCCAGCCGGCCCGCCCGGATTTCTGAACGGGGAAAAACAAAACAAAACAAAACAGCAACAAAACACCTTAGAATACATCCGTGCCGTTCACAAATAATAAGCTAAATCCACTTTTGAGCGGGCGAGACATTTCAGTAGAGACGTTTACGAGAGTTTTTACAGTCTTAAAATCAGGGGAGGGGCGAGGGGGCCAGGCCAGAACAACGTGGACCCGGCCCGGTGTTCGTGATTGATTTCAGAGTGCGCCGCTGACATTTCTGAGAGCGCGGCGGTGATACTTCCGAGTGTACCGGTAACACCCCGGCCCCGGGGCTGTGCGGTGCCCGGGGTGCGGTGCCCGGGTGCGGGAGGAGCCCGGCGCGGCCCCGGCGCTGCCCGTGGGCGGTCCCTGCGCGGCCCCGCCCGGCGCGGCCATGGCGGCCATGGCGGTGTCGGCGGTGACTCGGGGCGCGGTGGCGGGTCCGTGTCCGTGTCCGTGTCGGTGTCGGTGCTGGGCGGTGTCGGGGGCGGGGGGTTGTGTGTGTTGTCCGGCTGTCTCAGTGTGTGCTGAGGGTCTCTCCGTGTCCCCCCAGGGATCCTACGGCGCTGGGCCCCCCGGGCGCTCCCGCTCTCCGCCCTCCCCGCACGGTGTGTCGGGCACGGACCGGCCCCGGCCCCGCTCCGGACCCCGCTCTGGGCACCGCGGCTGCTGGGAGGGAACCGGCCCCGGGCAGCGGCACCCTCGGTGCTCAGCAGGTACCGCTGCGCGGCCTCTCCCTCCTGCAAAACATCCGCTCCTCTTAAGGGTGTTTTATGTGTTTATCTGGGGCAGGGTAGATAGACAGATAGATAGATAGATAGATAGATAGATAGATAGATAGATAGATAGATAGATAGATAGATAGATCTTTATATATATATATCTGTGTATATGTATATCTATATGTGTGTATATATGTGTATATACGTATATATACCTATATATATATGTATACACTTACATACTTATACTTTTATATATTTATATGTTTTTATATATATACACGTATATATGTATATGTATGTGTATATATGTATATGTATATATTCATATATATATGTATGTATATATATGGGGTTTACACTTATATACTTTTATACATTTATATATTTTCTATATATTATATATATAATATATATTTATATATAATATATACATTTATATATATTTTTGTATATTTTATATTTTTACATTATATATATGCATTTCAATATATATATTTTTGGTATCCAAAATATTTTATTTATATGTTTTAATATATGTTTTTATGTGAAATGTTTGTATCTTTTAATATATATATAAATTACACATTTAGGTATTTAAAAATGTTTTACCTATTTGCATATGAACTATTTTAAATATATTTATGACCTATTATTTTAAATGGATAGGTAATATATGATGAAATATATTTGTATGTATATTATATATGCTTATATAATATATATTTTATATAAAAATATGTAATATATTAATGTGTATTATATAATACACATTTTATGTATTCTTCTAATGTATTGATATTTCCGTGTATATTTTATTTTAGTATTATATATTCTATGTTATATATATTTATATAATAGTATGTAATATATATTTTACACATCCATTATACTGAAACACCTCTATATATGAATATGATGAAATCATAGAATATTTAGGTTGGGAAAGACCTTTAGGATCATGAAGTCCAGCCATTAACCCATCACTGCCAAGGCCACCACTAACCCATGTCCCCAAGTGCCACATCTACACGGCTTTTAAATGCCTCGAGGGATGGCGACTCCACCACTGCCCTGGGCAGCCTCTTCCAAGGCCCGACAACCCTTTCAGTGAAGAAATTTTCCCTGATATCCAACCTGAACCTCTCCTGACACAATCTGGGACCATTTTCTCTTGTTCTAGTGCTTGTTTCTTGGGAGAAGAGACTGACCCCATCCTGCACAAACTACAATATACATCTGTCTGAGACACTCGGGCATCTCTGCATTCAGCAGCAGGTCTCTGTTGGCCCTGAGCTCCCCCCTCCTGTACTCTTAATGCTCGAAGCAGGAGGCAAAATGTGACATACTCTGCAGCCCAATTTACAATTAGTCTTGTTGTAATCACTGCTGTTTCTCCTGCTGCTGATGAGGGCTGGACTGGGTGATCTCCAGAGGCCCCTTCCAACCCGAACTGTTCTGCAATTAATGTTCCAAAAGTAATTTCTGAATCCCAGTAACAGCTGAATGTTTGTGCTTCAGTGTATCACTGCTTTTAGTAGATTTAAAGAAAAAAAAAGGTGTTCTGTGTGAACAGTAACTTTGAGCTGAATTTTGCCAAGACTCCAGCCCTGCAGTTACTGTTCCTCAGTCATTAGGTGCTGTGCTGTGATGTTAGATGGGTCCTTGTTAACCTCCACACAAGCCACAGCCCCTTCTGATCTTCCTTTATCTGAAAAGCGCGGTGATTACTTTTAGAAAAAGATGTTTCATTCCTGTTCTATTTTTCCCCTGTTTTGGGGGTGTTTTTTCTTCAGTGTCACACCTCTACTTCCAAGTATACTCCAGCAGCCAGCGAGGACTCTCACCTACTACAGCATACGGAAAGGGAAGAGGAAAAGCGTGAAATCCGTTGTCAAAAGGTTCCTCCGGCTGCACAACGGCCTCTGGGTTAGGAGAAAGGTGAGACTTTCTTGGGGAAAGTCAGTGTAAAGGGTAATTGTTTTCCTTCCCTTGGAGGGCAGTGGCTGGTAGGGAAGTTAAAAAAAGCTCTGTGGAGAGACTCCCGTTTTCCTGAAAGCGAGGGCTTTATCCTGTTGTTTGAGCAGTGTGGTGTGTGTGTGTATTTGCAGTGACCTGCTTAAAAAGTTGGTTTTTTCTCTACATGTGTGTGTGTTTTCTTCTGACAGTCTGGCTACAAGAAGAAACTGTGGAAGAAGTCGGCTTCCCAGAGGAAGCGTCTGAGGGAGTTCGTGCTGTGCAACAGGACACAGTGTAAACTCCTGGATAAAATGACCACTTCCTTCTGGAAAAGGAGGAACTGGTACGTTGATGATCCCTACCAGAAGTATCACGATCGCACGAATCTTCAGGTGTAGAAACCTCGGGTTGGTTTTTGCACCTCTGTAGGAAGGAAGGGGGGTTGGTCCTGTGCCACGGACTGGATGCTGGAACATAGATCTGCAGTGCTTGTAACTTTTCTAAATAAACATGTGCGCATCATCTGAGCAGAATTATGCAAATCAGTGCCCAAAATAAAGGAATGGCCAAGATTCTCTCCAGTTGCGGTTTGTGTTTTACTTAGCGAAGGTCACGCCAGTCACCTGCGTGTTCTGATGTTTGGTGGTTTCCTGTGATTGTGTGTAACACTAAAAGTCAACATATTTAATCTTGATTTATTTGAAGAAATATGTTTAAATAACCCCAGGATCTTTTTTGCTGTGTCCATACCGATTGGTGTCTCACTAAGTGGAGTCTCCTGGGGGAAGAGGAGAAAGGAGAGCAGGGTCCATCTCAGCACTGCTGCCTGTCATGATACCAGATAAACTTGCCCTGTGTCCATGCTACTAGAAGAGCATAGAGAAAAGAGCCCAAACTCCAGAGTTTCATGGTTACATGCAGTTTTTATAACTGATTTTAAAATGCATTGGCCACCAAATTTCATTACAGGACTCACATTTTGTGTTCTCTGTAGGCTTTTGAGTAGTAGAACGTATTCTTTGGGTCCTGCATGACATCCTCAAGCAGGCAAATCTGAGTATTTTCTTGTTTATTCTTCCTTTAAGCCTAACTACAGCTCACACTTCATATTCCTGGTCACACATAAATGGAACAAACCCAAGGGTTTATTAGAGAGAGGGTCCTTTCGGAGTGTGCAAAGAAACTGGGCTGGTTTTGCTACAGGATACATCAGAGATTCACTTGAAGAAAGCATGTGAAAAGTGTTTGTTTCAAAACAGTGACTGACAGTTAACCCATTACTGAGCAGACAGTCCCTGGTTATCAGCCCCAGAGCTGCCTGTGTAGCAAGAGGTGGTTTGCTGTACAAGGCTGTAGCATTTCAATGAATTCACTGATTACTCAGAGTGTTCAGTAGCTGTATTTTGTTCTTTTTCCAGTTCATAATACAGAAAGTTCTGGAGGACATGCAGCACTTAGTGAATACATCTATATACAGTCAGCCAGAATTGAGATAAAAATAATACAGCGATCAAAGGAATTATTCTGGCCTGCCAGATACATTGAACAGACTAAAGATGTTTTGTTTTTGTCTTTTTTTAATAAAGAAAAGATTAAGACTTTATTCAAGATGTATATCAAGCAGTATAACAAAACCAGCAAAACATCAACCTTTGGAATACTGTTGTCCTTGTGAGGCATCGAGTGTGTACCATTGCATCACCAGACCTTTTCTACCCATCACAGGAAAGAAAAATCACACCAAGTGCACAATTATGAGCCTTAAATAGTTTGTCTAAACGCAAATCCCAACGTAGTGTTCTCTGCTAGTTCAAATACGGTGCTGGATGCAAAAAGGGGACCTGAAACTAACAGCAAAAAGGAGATTGTGGGTAACAAGCATTCGGTCACGAGGGTTCACCACGACACGGGGACGCGTCAGAGAGCAGCCAGAGGCGGCAGGTTGTTTACAGGAGGAGCATCATCTCTCTCCAAGCAGCTTTTCCCCCTCCTGGCAGGAATAAATTACCTGATTCCTTCTGTGCTGGGTTTGCACTGCTGTAATTTAGGTTAGTGCGGGATTCGTTCCAGGGTGACACCGAGAAGTGTGTCTTGTGTTGGATGTGATCCCGATTCAGCAGCTGGCAACCGCTGGAGCTGCGCTGACACTGGCCCCTGGGGCAGGAGAGGAGGCATAGAGGGCTGCACTGGGCTGCTCTGAGCTTAATTCTCTTCATAACCGAGTGGATTTATGGTAAATTGGTGAGGTAATTCACAGGCCTGTTTACCATGGACCATCTTCAGCTGCACTTCCCCCTCAGCCTCGATTTTACACGCTCAAAATAATGAACATTTCACTGCAGTCTTGAGCTGGGTAAATGCTGTTTCCATGGGCTGTCCTCTTCCCTTCAGGGTTCCACTCTCCCAGCCGTCTCTGAGACATCAGGAGGTGCCTGCCTGCCCTATGGGACTGATGGTAGGGGCCAGCTGCCTGAAAGGCCCCAAAACCAGGCTGGTTTTACCCAACTCAGATCTCTTGCTATTTCAAATCATCTGAAGAAAGACTGCTTGGTTTTCAGAGGAGACATCTGGAAGTGGTCAGCTGGCCTACACCCTCAGAGCTGGAGCTGGGAGGGAGCTAAGAACTGCTGCCCCCATCCATCCATGCATCCATCCATCCCTGAGTCCTCTCCTCGTCGGGTCCTGCACACCCCAGTGTGCCAGGAGGGGTCAGCAGCAGCGCAGGAAGGTGACTTGCTGGAATCGGGCTTGTTCCTTGGCAAAGGCTCCAGAGAAAAACTGGAACAAAAGACTTCACCGGTGCTGTTTATCCTCTTAACCAAGGGGTGAAATGACAAGACTTGGGGAAAGACCTGTAAACAACCTGCGTGAGGAAGGTGAGGAATCCAAAGCGAGTGGCCCTTCTGGTCTGTACGGAACAGCGGAGCACAAGTGCACGTGGTCAGGCATTGACACGTCTGTCTGTCTGTCTGTACACAAATATACAGCTCCGCTGATAAACTGATACGTTTTTGCCAGAGATATGAAAAGGTTTATTTTTTTCATTTATACAGTGAATGTTTTGAGAGATATAAGGCAACTCCCTTGTCAACATTTCACCTCAGCACTTAAGAAATGCTAAACAGTCAAGTTTACAGTAAAACAGCAGATTAGACGCACATTTAATAGTTTTAGTGAGAATCGATGTTAATACAGCGTGTCTGAGATTAGAACTTGTCAGATGTTACGCAGCTCTATGTTGTTGGGGTTATTTGGCATAATTGAGTGCAAACTTGTCAGCTTCTTTTTTTTTATCTTACAGCAGCCCATTGCATAGCAGGGAAACATGGCTTGCTTGCAACAGGATTTTATTTTCTGCTAACAGTGCAGGCAGTTTTTCTATTTATTTTTAATGTTTGCCAAATGAAATCAAATAAACTCTAAAGCTGCTTCAAAACAAAATACACAAGCTTAGCTCCTCAAAGCTTTTGCTGAGTATCTTCCAAGGACTGACTCTTCTGTAACTGCTACTTAGACAGCTTTGTTGGTTTACTTTTTGAAGAATTTTTCCTTCTTCACATTGCAAAATATGACTGAATCAGCACATGTAAAGGAAATAAAATTCTCAGGTAATGAGGCCAAATACTGTGGCAGACACAGGAAATACCTGCTTGCTTCTTCCATTTCCTAGCCAGGTCAGATACACATTTGTGTGTGCACGTAATTAATTTCTTCCTTTCTTCCCCACACCTGTAGGAAGCTGTGGGGGAGACCTCAGGGACCCATTGGACAGGAAAGGTTTCAAAGGCCACTTCAGAGTTCTCTCTGAGCCTGACACGCTCCATCCTGGGCTGCAGCACCTGACCTACATGAGCAGTGTTCACCACGGAGCCCGTGTGCTGACCCACTGGTGATGGCACGTCCTAACATAATGCTAAATGTTTTTCTAGTCTATGGGACAGGTCCAAGAGCAAACACAAAGGGCCACGTTAATTAAATTATGTGTGAATCTCACATGCTTAACACTTACAAGAGACACCAACTTGAAGCACAAATACACAAACCCTACCACGTCTTCCTCTTCTTTTATGTCTCATTTATATATGGATACAAATACACCACTCCACCTGGTTCTCGTGGTTCTAACCAAACCCCATGCTACAGGAGAAACTCCAGGCTTCAAGAAGCAGCTCAGACCCAGCGCCCTCCTCTGCTCGTGCAAGCAGAACAGCAGCCCCTCACCAGGAGAGCAGAGCGCTGGGAACGGTACTGTTGCAGCAGGGGAGAAAGGTTTGTTTTCCCCTGGAAATGCATCACTAGAGCAATTCTAACTTCTGTGGCTGCAGCTGGCACATGCCTGGCTTGCTCACACTTTAAAAGTGGCAGTAGAACATTGGCCACAAGCGGTGGGATCTAGTTCTTCTACCTGCCGTTGTTTTCCACAAAATACCCTCCTGGCTCAGGCTGATCAAAATTAAGACTCCCCCTTCATTACATCGTTGAAACCATTTATTTTCTCTTGCACGTCTCTTCCTCATCCTCTGTAAGTGGTTCTGTCTCTGTGGGTTTAGCACAATGATTTTCTCAGAGCACACGATTTACTCGCAGAAACGGAAACGCCGTTGCAGCTCAGCTTTCGCTAAAGAATCCTGGATATTTTGTACAGTCAAAGTACTTTGATATTTGTTACATCATTCACAGTCTCGAGGAGGAAGGGAGGAAAGAGAAATCCATGGGTTCTGCAAATCCACTTCATCAATGATAAAGCCATAAATAAATACACCGTCAATGTATCATCATGAGTAACTGATTATTGTTGTTTCCGCTGTGCATTCACAGAGCAAGAGCTATGCAGACACAAATGAAATCGTAAAGGTACAGCGTGGGTGGGTGGGTGCACACTCTGCAAACCAAACCAGGACCCCTCACCTGCAGGTTGTGTGTGCCAGACTGTCCTACCCACGTCACGGACCAACAGGAGCAGCGCGGCACAGGGGGACACGGAGAGGGGAGAGAGAAAGGCCATGTCTACAACGCTGGACATCAAAGCACATCCATCCCACGGCTGTTTCCTACATTATGAACGAGTAGCTCTTTAAGGCAGAAGAGAGACATTCTGTGGATCTTGGTGCTATTGGCTCATTGCACTCACATTGTTTCAGTGGCAGAGGACGAGGTACTTTTCTTCCTGAAGCGAGGTCTAAGGGTCCTAGGCGGTGCCTGCGGAGAAGCAAGACCAAACTTCAGTGGCATAACAGGAAAACGTATTTTCTTTCCTTACAACTCACCCATCTTTTGTGGGACACCTGTGGCAAGGATCCCATCCCAGGCATGAAGCAGTGGAGAAGCAGATCTTGGCCCTGAAGATCATTAATGAACAACCAGCTGAGGACTAACCCCTGCTGTAATCCTTTACTCAGGTTACACCAACACCTTCCCCTCTGGCGCTCGGTCAGAGGTGTGGCAAAGGATTGCTAATAACACAACAGCTGAAAGAGCCAGGTCAAACTGGTGCCATGTACAGCAGCTCATGGGTCAAGGTATCAAACTGGTGGCAGGGAGCCAGCTCTGGTGCCTCACAGTGCATCCTGCACTGCCCAAC